GCGGGGCCTTATTGTATTTCAATCCTTAAATTATTGCTTCCTTATGTATAGATGATAATAAGAAGTAGTTGAGCCGAGAAAACAGAGGGGTAAATCTACATACCAATACCTCGCTGAAGGAAGGATCTAGAAAGAACTCAGGACGTCGAGTACTCTTTAATCACTCTAGCCCGTTACAAAGGACACAGACCATCCAACGAACTAATCAAAGCTTGTGGTACAAATACATGTAGCTGACACTAAATGCGGGGAAACGTGTGCGAGAGAGTCAGGATGAGTTTTTTTTGTTGTTGTTGTTTTCTTCTAATGGATGGAAAAGACGCACAAGTATTTTGAGCCAGCAGACGTAGCACGGAAATGCAAAACTAATTACTTTTCAACATACATATTTACCCCCAATTTCATTGATACGCGATCCCCGAATCAAAAGTCTCGCGAGCATTTGGCGATTCGCTTTCGTCAATCATGCGTTCCTTATATGGTGTTATAGAAATGCCGCTCTTGTTTTCAAAAATTATTCCCCGCGTGCAGAAGTCTTGCTATAACGCTCACGCTAAACCTCTGCACGAGCAAAGACACCACTCGACAAAGTAAACTTGAAGAATAACAAGCAACCATGTTGAACGAACAGGCTACACAGTGGCTGCCATATTTTTGAAAACAAGAGCGGCATTCCTATAACACCATATAAGTAACGCATGAATGACGGAAGCGAATCGCCAGATGCTCGCGAGAGTTTTGATTCGGGGGTCGCGTATCAATGAAATTGGTGGTAAGTCACAAACGTTCCAGAGGCTTCTGCACTGGGTTGTCACAACTTCTCGCTGTTTAGATTCAGTGTTAGATATAATCAGACACCTTTCCCTGATTTTATTTTCCCACGCAGAACGTCTTCAGAATAAAGAGGACAACGTCGCTAGCTATTTTTCTAACCCACGCTTTTTGAAAACAAACTATATTTAATATTGCCTGTCGCATGCTGTTGAACTGGGAAGAACTAAATTTAATTTAAAATTTATGGGCACAGTTTGAATTAAACTCTCACTTATAAAAATTGTTATCCTGTGATGCATGATTATAAACTCTATTTATCGAATTAAGATATCTTTGTTATTTTCAATATCAGAAACTCCAAGCTAACGGAAAGTCAAGAATTCGTCAGACTTTCATGCGACTCGATTGTTTTACTGAATTGAAATCTAACGTCTGACTTTAACGAAATTACGACAAAGTAGTGCTGAAATACAGAGAAAACATGAACTGTGGTGTCGTTGAAAATTTTGTTACAAAGAGGATCAAAAGCTGAAATAATAACACCTTGCACATTCTTTTAACACACACTTTTTTCGTGTCATGATTAATTCTTTTAGTCTTAGTTATTTCTTCAACGTTAGTCTCTTAAGGGACCAGAGTGTCTGCAGTAGTTCAAAGAAAGCCGTTTGACAAAAATAATAATATAATATAGGGTTAGTGAAGAGCCGTGTTACATGTAAAAGTTTACTTTTGGTAATATTATTATAACTTAATACGGTTTGATCTCAGCGCACATGTTATTTATACCTTATGTAGTTTAATTGGCCTATGGAAAAAAAATACTCTAACCCTGCATTTGAGTCCATCTTTCCAAATAATTGATATCAATCTTATAGCATTAGATATTATCTTCAAAGTGCATTTGAATGCTGCGTATAATATGAACATATGGATTTGAAAAAAAATCTCTGTCTCTTACCATGTTGTGCCAAAATCCTTGAAGATGAAAGCCAAGAGAAGAAAAAACATTGGATTAACACCAAGTTAGGCATATCTTAAAAGCCAGCGAAATAAACCAAACACATTTATTCACAGATCTGTCCCCGGCGATCACTTTTTAATACTTACATTTGTAACTGTAAGTTAAAATTTATAACTATGTTTTCTTGTTACTGGACAAATGTTGCTAAGGAACAGAGCCGATAAAATAAAACCTCCTGCAGATAGAGAGAGTTGTTTTCGAACGCACTTGCAGCAATTTTTTTCATTCCAAGCTTCTGAAATTTCAATGCTAATCACAATTAGTCAATTTAAGTCTCTTTTTAGTGATCTCTGGGATATTTTAAGCATTACCTTGTCATTCAAAATGGCCAATTCCCATCCCTCTATAAGACACGCCTGCAGGGAATCATGGTAGTTTTATTCAACAGAAAAAATATCCATTCCAAGATGATGAACACAACTACCATGATTCCCTGCAGGCTCGTCTCAAAGAGGAAATTGGCCATTGTTCGTGGAACAAAGTAAATACAAATTAAAAAAAAAAAAAAAAA